GTATTTCGTAAGGTATCTGGCATAGACCGACACCCTCTAAGGGGACTATTACCCGAGAAGAAAGAATCGACTTACAATTTAAGGAATCAAACAAGTCAGTATCCAGGGCGTGAAATTAACTTTTTTTTCTGATAGCCACTTGGCTCCTAAATTCTTTAAAGTGGTAGCCAATTCAAAAAAAAGTTGGTCGCCATTTTCAAAGACAAACAAAATCTTTCTTTACGCTGTCAGCGTTCTAGATAGACCCTCCAAAATTAAGTTAGGGAAAAGATCTTTAACGTGCTACAAAGTGGACACTAGTATGAATGATGTACAACGTTCAGGCTCATCTAAATCCAAGATGGCGTCTAGTTATCGATCGAGAAGCACGTGCCACGTTTTAGAAACAAACTTAATGAGGAAGTTTGCCGCGGATTTATCTTTGCAAATCTTTTTAATTCACTATATCTCTTGATAAGGTTATGATGAAACGTTCTAGTAGCTAATTTGGCGACTAACTTTCAGGATTTGGTCGCTAAAGTGAAAAATTTAGTCGCATTGGCGTCTGTATTAGGCGCAATTTCACGCCCTGTCAATACAGATAGATTCAAGAACTCTTACATTAATCGCTTAATTTTTAAATACAATTTAGCTGTGTGAGCGTATTTTAATTGTAAATAACTTGGATATATGTACTTTTTACTCAAATATTGTGACATGAGATATGTATTTTTTATCTTGTGAGGAAATAAAGACTAATACTAAGACTACTACTTAAGTTTCAACGTTGTTAAGGTCATTTCCATACTCAATATGTTAAATTTAGTTTATAGACAATAGAAGTTGTGGATGATTCGTTATTTTATATGACACTGGGTTTAATTTTAGTTCACTTCATTTAGATCAAGGCATGTTCAGGCATGTTCGGTTATACGATCACCAGTACCAATCGAATTGCCGGGATAAACGCCAAAGTCGCTGAACCTGAAAATGTTCAAAATCAACTGGAAACTAATTGTGGGAAAAAGTAAACAGTTATCGTTTCATCTATGCAAATATCGCCTAACATCCCCATTTCTATAATTTTTTCCCCGCTTTTATGACCATGACACTATATAGGGTCACAAAATATGCAAAAATACATATATACAGAGTACGTAGCTGTACAATGGTATCTAAAAGTTCCCTTCAGGATATTGAAAAGCTACTTGTTTCAGTTCTTAAACACCTGCAGCAGACAGAAAGTCAATCGAAACTCAAATTATTCACAGAGTGCGACAAGAAAATGCCTTCATCAGCAGCTAATTTTATGGGACCCGATGTAAGACTTTAGTTTAATTAGTGATTTTTTTCTCTGGCTTACTTCAATTTGATATATTTCTCACTTTTGCTTAAAGTTTAGGACGCAGACCAGGAAAAAGGTTTATGCAGTGCGGAGTGCATTTGATATAAGAAACATCAAGATTCCAGTGGATCGAAATCACGGAGATCCCTCAAAAAAATCGTCATCGCGGTCTCTAAAACAGGCACAAGAGCGGGGAAAGCAATTTCACAAAGCACTTGTGAAACAAATTAATGGACAAAGAACAAGAAAGAGTGTAGAAGGCCAGCTTCTGACAAAGTTGGAAGAGGAATTTAATTGCAAATTCCTCCAAGCGGAAGTTAGAATCCGTGGTTATGCCGTTAAAAGATCGAAAGTTGATTGCTATAAAGGAAAGATAGATGCTGTCGCTTTGCGTCAAAGTCCAAGAGGTGACCCCGAAGTCGTTGTCGTGGAATGGAAGACGTTTGCTAAAGATGATTTACAAAATCCGATGAAGTGGTGGAACGGAGCGACATATTTTAAAAAGCCTCTTTATCAGTGTTTATTGTATCGTGAGCTTTTACAAACTCACTTAGAGGTGAGCGACCTAAGAGCTCGCATTGGCATTATGTTGGTTCCATACAATCAAGCACACCAAGGAAAAGTCGTGCCAGGCTTATGCACAGATTTTCAAAATATGGAAAAAGAGGGTCTGTTGGAAACCATTAAAAGTTTTCAATGGTTTCCCTGAGAAAGTGAATGTGTCCACACTTTTATTTTGCCCTGAAAATTATTTAGTCGTGAGCGTCTGGCTAGATATCTAGAAGATGGAGTTTTGAAGGAGACAACTGTGGTTAAAGACATCGTCGATATAAGTGCTACTGTTAAAGACATGTGAGAAGAACTGGACTTCTAAGACTTAAGATGGAAGATTCACTAGCTAAGGACGAGAGTCTTGTTCTTAAGAGATCAAGAGGACGGCGAAAGGACAGCGAAAGTGAAGTATAGCAAAGCAAAAAGAGTCTTAGCCATTCTAGGCGGCGAATTCCTAAGAGCAAAAGAAGTTAATCCAGTTCTAGCAGAAACATTAGCTATTGATAACAGCGCGAGTGACACCGCTTCATACATTTTCATTTTCACCGTTGCACCGTCCGCCGCGCTCGTCTGTGTTCAGTCAGTCTTGTATTGAGTTTCCTGCTAGTCTCTCCGATGTAGGAAGAATGGCACTCGGAGCACTTGATCTTGTAAACTTCTCCTTGTCTGTTGTTCGATTCTTCCTTGTTTTCGACGTTAGTTAGTAAAGACCTTTAGCAAACACGACGGCGACGAAAACGAGATGGCAAAACAAAAGATCTAATGAGTGAATCAATAGTTTAGCATGTGTGTTTCTAACTTTGTACATTACTTATCCGTCTTCTGCAAAGCAACAACGTGAAATCACCCAAAATTGTGTCGTCTGCTAACGGAAACCGCGACGGCAAATTATTTTTATATCCATTTGGAACTCAACAATGTTTATATACATTAGGCGAAAGTTGAGGTGTAGCGCCGTTAGAGATGGTAAACACATACAGCCATTTTCGAAATTTTAACCAAAAATAGACAGTCATTTTTCAATCGAAAATCTTCCTTGGCGTTACAGTCCTGACTGCTAAAGGTCCCTAGTGAATGATGTAGTGTTTTAATCGTTCGGTGAACGACGCGGATGTTGTAGGGTCGTGGACTGCGCGAGATGGTTCCGTTTTGGTCTACGAAAATGTATCGTCAACGTAGTGTAGCCACATCCTTTACAAGTCGAAAGAGCGTGTTTGTCAATGTTCTGCATCACAATTTCTACGACAACAACGGAAACTGGCGACTCAATGGCTGTTGCGCGTAATTGTTGGTGATTCTTCAGTACCGTTATACTGAAGGTGAGTAATCGCTTGAAAAATACAAGGCTTGAGAACTAAAGGAGCGCTTCTTGATTAGTTATGAGTAAGCTAATCAAACAATAAATGAATGAGTTGATTAGAGATTTTTTTGGTTGCGGGAACAAACAGTTGCAATTGGAGATGGCAGAAACCAAGTTAAATATTTTTCTTTTCCAGAAGAAGTCACACTGGTGAAGAATATTTAACAAATAGAGAAACCTTGACTGTGCTCTGTTCTGTTGTAAAGCACGCAGGAAGCGGTTAGGGCACGAAAGAAGTGTAGGGAGAAACACGAGACGTAGTCATGTGTTTCTCACCACTTCTCGAGTGCACTAGCCGCTTCCTAAGTGCTTTACAACAGAACAGAGCACAGTCAAGGCTTCTCTATTGGTTTTTTAATAAAGAATTCGTTAACTTCCCCAAGCGTTACTTTCAATTTTCAAAACAAATTTTAATTCCAAAGCGAACAACAATGTCGTCAGCATGCTCTATACCCTCAGAAAGCACTCTACAATAAGCCAATCAGAATCCTTATTACAATAGTTCAATAATCTGATTGGCTGTACAAGACTAAAGCTGTCAAAAATGTCAAACCATCAAAGTTCAAAAACCATCAGAGTTCATCAACAATTCTGCATATGTTTACAAACTTAAATAGTTTGGCAGGTCGAATCATACACTTTTCCCTGAAGTTTATTGGTCTCTAATACAGAATGTGGAGGTGAATTGTTCAGGGAAATCCGGCCGAATTGTGGCTCATAAAAACACGCAACTTTTTTCCACATAACAATTACAAAACAAACTGCTCAGGGCGAGTGTTTTATGGATGAACGACAGCTGAATTCAAATTCCGAGAAATCTTCATGCACGAAGATTTCTCGGAATGAAAGAGCCGGCTGCCGTGACTGATGTGGCCTTCCACTCAACGCATCGGAAAGGATATCAGAGCAAGTTCTCTTTTTTCACTCGAGAGGCAGCTGATGCAATCACTGAGGCATGTTTCATTGCGATGACCGGAGATCGCCATGATGAGCTGGCCGCGTTGGACCTCAGCATGATCGCAGTCGCTCTGACACCGTCATCATGATTAGTATGAATTTTAACTTATGCTACTTTTGCTATATTTTTCATTACTCCTGTTTTGTTTTTGAACACGGAACTATATAAACAATTTATATTACCGTAAGTAAGCTTGCAATCTCACTGAGTGTGACAACCTTCAAACTCGGATTGTCCACTTCGTTTTCACTTTGAGGATTTTCGTCTCTGTTAACGTTATAATAACGTCAAATACGGCGCCTGGCATGTGTACATACCTTTGTTTGGTTGTTCTGTTGCTGAACTTGCCGACTTGCCTGTTCCGAAATTTCCCTTTCAATTAAAGAAAAAATAGAGAAAAGTCCCGGAAAGGTCGGGCATAGTACAATTTGCAGATGGCGTGACAGCTTTAGCTCAGCTCTATGCTCAGAACACAGCGGCAAAATGAATGCGCATGCTCAGTTAATTTGCCGCTTTTCAGAAGCGATTTGTTAAACTAGCGTAGGTGAATTTCGTCAGGGATCGAACAGAACATCGTTTTACAATATTTGGACTGATAAAGAGGTGATCCAAGGAGAAATGTGATGGATTTTGTTCTGATGGAAAAGTTTGAGGTCTAAGTAGAATTCTTTTAGTTAAAGTTCAACTATAGCTGATTTAAATGTGTCCAGAGAGTCCGTTGCGTGTTCCGTTCCATTCGGCAATTCTATTTACAAAAGACATTTAATTATCGGTATTGTTTAGTTCAAGCTTTAAACTTGAAAAGCTTTTCAAAGTAACCTCTTTTGGTATTCAAAGCTGTTTACAATTGAAATCAGTTTTGTATCTGTCGCTATTAATTAAAACCTTGGTGCTCGGTCTACTTAATAAAATATGTGAACGTTCTGTTGATTTATGAAGCCTTTGAATGTGACGGTGTACAAGGCTATTCAGCCCGATTCTTCCACAAAACCACTTAACTTTAATAAATGCAATAACATTAATACCTGACAGATATCTGTAACCTTCTTTGCGTCTGGAAATATGTAGATATCACTTCACGATCAACCGCCGTTGTTTGACGTTTACGTGCATTTCTTACTACACAGTGTGACTTGAAGTTGATGAAAATAACCGTACACAAATTTGCGGCCGTAGGTAGCTCTACCTTCAGCCAGTTCAGTAGTTCTTCGATTTCACTGCGTTGAGACTGTGCGAATAAGGTGCCTTTTGGTAAGTGGAGATGGCTACCATCAAAATGATGTTGTCGTTTCACTTACAAATGTAAAAGTTAAATCATTAATTATTATGAAGGCAGCATTTGTGTTGGTAGGTCTTCTACAGAGGTGAAAAATCAGAGCAGATTTTTTACTTGAATTAGGTCCTTGACAAAAAAACAATCTTCTTCATAGCTCAAACTATCCAGGCTGCTTCTAACAAGAGGTATGGCTTCGACAACACCAAGATGTGATTGTGACTGCATGAAACTGTCATATGTGGGATTTCCCCCCATCATACATGACATGAAGGATTTGTTTGTTAAGTATGCCTTTGCTAAAAACAAAGAAATAACTGTACAAGCCTTGCTGCATTGCCTCCCTATTTCTGACCGAGATTGGAAGACTAGCAGTTCACAGAATGTGACTGATTGTGTAGTTGAAGACCTTTATTGAAGGAATCACTTAACTCATTTACTCTTGTTAGAAAGGGATCATTGCTTTATTAACTGGATCAGCAACTGCTATGATTGGGAGACTTGATGCCATATGGATTGCCAAACTGGCTTTATCAGTTGGTTTGATACGCACATTCATAACTTAAAAATCATCAATTTGATGAATAACAAGTTTTTTTGGTTTGAAAAAAAAATTAATATCAATTTGATTGGTTGCTTATATGTTACAAAAATTTTTATGTTTATTGTTCATTGTATTGTTTTTCTTTATCTTGCAGGCTCTCAGCACAGTTTTGTCAACAACTTCCTTGTGGTTGTTTTGCCTGCTGCTCTTTAAACATGTCATTCATACATATTCCACTGCTGAAGCCCAAGACCTGGTTAAGCATAGCATATCAAGGCACATTCCAGCCTATTTTTGGAGATGTGATGTTTTCCAAAATCTGAGGAAAATTGCATATTGTTCCTGTTGTCATACTTGAGAACAAATGATGTTTTGTATCAGTAACTGCTGACACTGCCAGAATAAAGCTGAGATGGAAATTTTGTAAATCAACAAAATATAATAATTCTTTATTCTTCCAATGGCAAAACTTTAAGCAGGTACATTGCAGTTTGAAGTAAATGCCTAAAGTAAGCCAACTTGTGAAATATTGGAATTATTCTTTGCTGCTCTAAATGTGACTGCCTCTCACTGATGGCATGTCCATCTGCATGCACTATTGTACTGATGAGGATGTAAAATGTAGTGCTGCATAGGTCTCACAAAATGCCTGCATATCATCAAATCTGTATAGAGATTGACCCCCACTCTCATAGTGCCAGTAAAAGGCTAACTGAAATTTTTCTACCGGCTCTGCAAAATTATGTAATAATGTATTAAACCAGACTCTGAGTTATGTAGAAATATTTTCAACAATAAACATGTGTTTACTTGTAAAATATGAGCACAGAGCAGAACCTTTATCAGTATGTTATTGTTACTTTATTGATGTTGTCCTGGAGATGTTTGACCTTCCTTGTGCAATCATACCAGAACTATGATAATTAGCAATATGATTGGATTGGTTACCTTTCTTAGATTAAGTCCAGGTTTTAGTACCGTAAAATTCCGAAAATAAGCCTCTCCATGTATAAGCCCCCCCGATTAGAAGCCCCCCAAATCTGAAACGCAAAAATACCTCCTATAATAAGCCCCTCCGAATATAAGCCCCCGGGGGCTTGTATTTGGAAATTATCCTCAATTAGACAAATCAAAGCAAACTACACACATCACCATTATCAGGAAGCCTTTTTTAGTCATAAAAGAATGTTTCTGTGCACTAAAGCAACGTGGTCAACAAGTGTTGAAGGTTATTGTCTTTTACGCAGTTCTCTCTTCACTCGCGCCTTGAATTTCTTCGGTCCGTAGACAAAGTATTTGCAAGGAAGTTCGATCCCGCCACCCTGAATCTAAACTCCCTCTGGTGCTCCTCGAACGATATGAGCTTTCATAGTAATTATGAACTTTGAGCCAGAACTACGTTACCGTTTTTACCGTATTTTCGTTCTAGTGAAGGGTTATTGTCATTGTGTTTGAACTTGGCATTTTCCTTGTGATCAATTTGTTACGAATTTCTAGCCAAAACCCTAATATTACCAGTTGCACATTCAAAAATTTTGACACAAATTTCACAAATTTCAGCCCAGCCAATTTCCCTCCTATAATAAGCCCCTCCGAATATACTGTCCCTTACAAAAAATAAGCCCCTCAAAAAGGTCCTTTGAAAAATATAAGCCCCGGGGCTTATTTTCGGAATTTTACGGTATGGTACTTACCATTGTTGGTGTTGATAAATTGGGTGGACCAGTCTGTGCACCAATTTCCTGACTCTCTGTTGAGCCATTGAATTGTGGTAATGCAGTAAGTTTTGGAGCATACATTTAACTGCCACAGCTTGTTAATCACATTGACCATCCATGGAGTCTGCGGGCACTCCAACTGAATTTTGCATGGCACTCCATCTCCATTTTTCACGTGCAAACAGGGTGAGAATAATGTCATCATTTATGTTATTGTTTATTGTGTAAATGGTGAAGTTCGTAAACCTAGAATATGCAGTAGGAGATGACAGCCTTTGAATATATCTAACGTTTTTCTCCTTACTGGCTTTTTATAAGTGGTTTTCGTGGCAAATGTTTTGTTGGCGTTTCTTCGAAAACTTGTGCACCACTGTACCCCTGTTTGATAACCAGCCTCACTTTTTTCAGTCTCGTGGTAATGGGTGTATCACATAGAGTGGAAGAATGCGAAGGTAACGGGCACGATCAGATGTTGGTCGTTTTTCGTAACTGCTGATAATGAAATTCACACACAACGTATCCTCGTCCCACCATTTCAGTATTTAAGGCCATTATTCTTTCTCTACGAGCAGAGCTATGGCGTATTTTTTTCTCTCAGAAAATAAACATTTTCGCTGGGCGGTTTGCCTACGGAAGAGGCGATACAAACAAGTGCCATGATAATAACAGGGGCCTACGAAGTTCGGTAGCCATGTTAAGAACACTCAACTTAAATGCTAAAATTAACACCTGTGGCCAAAATCCTTTTTCGTTCGGAGAGATATGTTGCAGTGCAGGTTCGAAACAGACTTTCCTGAAAATGGGAACCCTATCTCTCGATGCTAAGGCTTATCCCCGCGAAATAAAAACAAACAATATGAAATTTAAAAATGCCGCCATATCGCTGCAATCGTGTTACTAAGTGTTACTATGGAAATATTGTTATTCCCATTCCTCTTCGGGCGTAAATTTTCGCGCGCGTTACATGCATGCGCACTTATTTTGCCGCTCTGTCTATTCTCTAAACTCCCATAGAGCACGCTCTTTCAATCAATGACTACGCACGTTGTATCCGAAATTTGTTAAACGACTACCTGAATGAATGCTTCGCTCACGAGGTAGCAAAACATGGTTGGTTTTTTTCCTGTCGCTCTTATGAGGGGCTAAGGCTCACCTTCTCAACTCTACGGTGGTCAATTTAAGTTATCGACTCGGTCATACTAAACTATCTTGCCTACATAGATACTCTAACAGTTACCATTTCAATGAATGTTTGGTCATAACTCTCCAAAAAGGAGCGCTGTAAGTTTTTAATGAAGAGTCCATAGAGGGAGCGAGCTGGTCCGACCACCGTAAGCCAGCCGGAGAGCAGTGCCTTCCTTGGGGAAGACTATTCTGAGGAAAAGGCTTTAAGTAGAGTCTTCCTTTAAATGAGCCAAAGGCAAATGTCCGTCCCTGGCGTTAGTTACGTTTACCACCTTTCCAAGGTTCATACGTTTCTTTGTTCATTTAAATGACCGTAATTATTCCGCCGACCATTTTTCTTACTGTTTTGAAAATTATCTCTCATCAGCCGAGAGCGTGGGACATTAGCGCTATTGGCGAAATTTTGCATGCTTACAAACATTCCTCAACTATCGGGCGTTGGGAGCAACCATAGCTTCACTAATTTAAAAAAGTTTTCCCTCCCCTCAGAATTAAAAAAAAAAAAAGAAAAGAAAAGAAAGTAGAGAAGAACGCACAAGTGGCGAGAATAGCTTGTATATTAATTGGGGGAACATCAATCGATCCAACACCAAATTCTCAAAGCAGAAATTTCAAGAAATGTACGGCGAGCAGTCGGGAGAACTTTCATCGCGATATTGAGAGTGGAAAGGTCAAAGATCTAGAACGGTGATTGATTCCACAAGTAACTAAGTACCCCATAGTCTCCGATCCTACATAATGCTCATTCCCTTTCAGGACCACAAATCGTTCTAGCAACACCAGTTAACGAACAAAGTACAGTTTTAAGACTTTATTTATACTACAGTTTGTTGTCTCTGAAGCAGTTGCTTTTGATAATAAATAAATAAATTGAAATGTCCATATTTTTATCGACAGGAAATAGAATATTCAGTGAAAGATTCAAATATAATAGCAATTTGTCTAATAAGAAGAGTTTGAGGTTATTTCCCAGAATACAGCCTAAATACCTGGTACAGCTACACCCAGAAGTAATTTGGGCAGTCTGCCCAAAGAAGAAAACACCCGAGATGGGAATCCACCCTCCTGCACACCTTCCTATACCCTCCCTTAGCAGACCAACGAATCCACCTTGATTAGAGCTACCCTTAAGCTGTGCAAAAAGTTGTGATTTTACTCCAACTGTTGTTTATCTGGCTTTACACTCCTATGGGCATTAATATCTAACAAAGTTGTAAATAGGACTAAACTTACATGTATGCTAGATAGAAATTGTTTGCACAGTAAGGGATGCTGTTAACTGCTTTAAGTAGAGCTCCATCATTGAAACCTAAGATTTGTAACTCTAGGGGGCTGGACATCTTCCACAGGAAACAAAAATTTTATCGCTCTTTGTGCAGTACAATGCACTGAAAGATTTCTAGGAAGCAGGATGGTGAACAAAAATTGTCAATTCAAGATAGAGTCTATAATTAAAGATAATTTTATACATGTTTCTTTTATTTACTATGTTAAATAGTTATTTCTTTACTTGAGCCTTACTTAAATGAAGCACCATCCACATACCATTAAAAAACAGCTAGTCAGAATTAACTGAACTAATATATTTGGAGAGAAAGTACCAGGCTTTCAGTCCCTGTGAAATATTGGAGAATGTCAAAACCTAATTTGATAGTACCTCAGTATCAAAGTCAAAGAAGAAAAACATCTACCTTCCCATCAAATACGCAACTGGTGATCCACCCTGGAATCATTGATTGTCCTCTTATTTGCCTAAACCTGTTTCTACTAAGATCAATATCTGGAAGCATAGAAGAATATTGTGAAAAGTGGTGCTTCAATTCAACAAGGCTCAGGTATTACCTCCTTTAAATCTATACACTAGATTCTACTAGAGCCATAACCAAGAGTTGGTGTTGGCAAAGAAGGAATCATGTCCAGCAAGTATTGTCTATCAGAGTCTGACACATAGCTATGATGATGCTGTGGGTTGCGAGATCCAGAGTGATGGTGCTGACTTATATATGGATGCCATCTGACATCAGCTTGCTGTCTCGCTGCGGCTTCCAACTCCTGGTGTTGCTGCTGCAAGTGCTGTTGCTGCAGTTGAAATAACAGTGAGTTGGTGTGAGGCTGATGGTGGTGGTACAGTGCTGGTTGAACTGGTTGGTGATGATGATGCATGATAGGTTGGTGATGTGCAATGTGGTGACGTGGGGGTGCAGGTGCTAGAGGAGGCTGAGGAGAAGACTTCTGACTTTGGTGATGAGGCTTAGGTGCAATTTGAGGGGTATCATTAATTTTTTGCTCAATCTCCTGTTCCTGCTTAAGAGCTTTCAAGAATGCTGCCTTCAAACGAGCAGTGTGTTCTGCTTTAAGCTCTTTCTTCACATTGACAGTGCTACACTTTTCACACACAGTTACCAGCTCTGAGTCCTTGCCCGGCTTATTTGTCCAAGAAGGTGAGAAGTCTGTGTTACAACGTGAACAAACTTTGGGGTTTATCAATTGCTCTCGCAATGGAACATTATGTTTTCCCTTGGCTTCTTTAGCAGCCATAACATCCACCACAGACTCAAGCCCAACCAAAAGCATGAAGTCTTGGCTGCCAAGGCTTGGAATAAATGACCATTCAGGAGGAGGTGGCTTTGGTGGTGGTATCTGAAGCAGTGTCCTTTCCAACTGCTTTCGTAGTGCCATCTTGGCTGCAGCTTGTTTCCCACCTGGACTTTGCTGATGAGAACTACTAGGCAAGTGATGCTGAAATGACACATATCCACTACTGGCTGGGAGGCTGCTAACATTGTTGGCTCTGACAGGGGTAGGGCGGACAGGGGCAGGCTGATTTGCTGCAGAATATGCTGGACTGCCTCTGCCTCCACTGTGGGGGTACAGAGGAGTAGGCTGAATTAGATTTGCCATGCAGGTGACAACATTTTGCAGATCTGCAATTGCAGATGATCCAGGTTTTGAATGCGACTGAGTTGAATGTTGATGAATGGACTGCTGCACTGCAAACTCTTTCAGGGTCTGGGCTGCAGGACCTAAAAATTTTGAAGATCCAGAGTTTGAGGACTGTGATTGAGCATTACTACTTCCTTTTGGAAGCAGCCTTGGCTGTCCTGGAACATCCCTGGGTGGATGGAAAGTAGAAGTGGCTAGTACTGTTGAGGCCTTCAAAGGTGGTGGGGGAGGAAGATTCTGACCTTTTTTAGGTGGAAGCTGCATAGAGGACTTCACAGGTTGGGAAGAGGCTCCTTGTGTCTGTACCTTCTCCATATTTTCTTTTTGAAATTTGGAGCTACCTTTGACATCATTTTGTGCAGCATGTAGTTGTTTCAACAAGAGAAGTTTGGCTTCTTCTTGCTTCAGTTCATTTCTAAGGTGTGCAATCAATTTTTCTTTAGCTTGAAGATCATCATCATTTTCATCAGACAGAGGGGAATCTGGCCTCGAGCCATCACTAGTATTACCATTAGTGATTTTGACATCACCCTTGACCTCACCATTGTTCTTTTTCCTGCTGTCCAAAGAGGATAGCTTTGGTATTTTCAAGAATTCAACGATACTTTCCTTAGCTCTGTGGGATATCAAAGGTTTTCTCTCAACCCCATTTGCATTTGCAGATGGTGTGCTATTCTCCATGTTGCTTGTCTCCTTTTTGTTAAGTTCTTTCACAGAACTCAAACCCAACTGTGCTAGGAGATCCTCCTGGGAGATACACTCATCCAAGTCTGAATCCTTCCTTTCTACTTTTGGCTCTGTAGCAACCTTAATTTGTTTAGAATCCTGTTCAAGGGATTCTGTTTGATTCACTTGCAATTTGCTTTTTACAACATCAGGGAATGTTTCTGCCTCCTCCTTTTTTACAACAGGTTCCACAGTGTCTGTCTTAAGTTCCTTGTCTGAATCATCATCAGATGACGAAGATGATATTACAACTAGTTCACTGTCTTTCTTTGTTGACCTGCCAAAAGAAAACAGTACCATTTTTGCATGGATGAGCATATATTTAAAAATTCAAACTAGCTGTTTAGCATGCTGATAGTTATCCTTCTTAAAAGGCTCCAAAATATTGAAGTCCATGGGCTAATATTAGCACAAGTCCTTCATAAAGCTCACTATACAAATCTGTTCTTTGTTAAACTACTTCTTTTTATCTAAGGGGTTACTTTAGAATTTGCTCAGTTTCCTCACCAACTGGCTAATTTAAGTACTAGTTTAAGATTCATTTAGTTCATAGTGTTCCAAATAAATTTTCACTCAGCTTTACTTCTATACAAATTTTCATAGTTCAAAGCAAAATTCCTTGCAAAATATCATGTTTGTGGTTTTGATATTAAAGCTTTCATTGAATTACAAGTAAGGGTTACAAGTGAGGTTCTCAACACAAAGTCACGGAAGATAATTTTGTATTAACTAGTGCAAAGATCTCAAAACACATACATGCATGACAAAAAGGTCCAAAAAAGGTAAATGTAACAGAACATTGAGAATATATATGAATATAATCTCTTACTTCAACTTGTAGTAGTTGCTCAGTGGCATAAGTACACAGTTGTACAATAACAAAGATACCTGAACCTAAAGCCCTTTGGAACTTTAGACTAAGTTGAGTTCAAACAATCAAACACAGCCTTGAAAATTAACAGTTCAGTTCATAGTTTGACATATGGTACCCTAACATTCAACAAGTAACATCACTGGCAAAGCCATTACAAGAGCAAGAAATTATGAACTGATGTACAAATGAGAGCTTAAAAATAAAGATAAATAAAAATACCCAAATTCTGAGTTATCAAACTAAGCATTTCTTTTTCCTAATTGTAGACTACACTACTTTCATCTAACATTCAAACCCAAAACATAATCTATGAGCTATTTAATAGAGACCAGTTACATATGGCTGTATCAAATTTGAAACTTTCAATTATCTATTTGGAGCACAGAAAAGATTGAGTATAGTGGTTAACTCTAGCAACAACCAAACTGTAACCACTGATAACTGGAACGTGGTTTTGGTGAGAGATTAGAAGCCAGAGAAAATGAATTCTACATGTATTTGAAACTTTACAAAGTCCCTCAAAAAGAAAAATGCGAGGAACATGCAAGAAAAGCTGTGATGTGATGCACAATTAATTGACATTGAACAAGACTGGCATCTGTTTTTATGCTTTAACACTGTAATTTAACGGAAAACGAATCATCTTTTCAGGATGTGATGAATGACTCAGAAATTCAGACAAGCATTTTAAAAAGACAAAAGACCACCGAGATGAGGATCTTTGAAAGGAAACGACTTGAAACCCTTTTAAATTTTATAAATGAGTAGAGCACGATTAATCTGAAACGATAAGAGATTTCTATTTCAAATTCCGTTCCTACGTGTTCCATCCTTAAATGAAAAATGACATGACAGAAGATATAACTATCCACAGCAAGGGTCGATCTTTAATATTCTTAAGAAAAAGGCTTTGTCAAGACGCGATTAAAGGAATTACTCAGTATGTTGGCTCGTGTTGCAGGTGTGACGTTAAGATTAAGGCAGCACAAAGACGAACTCGAGTGGAAGATGTTCATTAAGCAAAGGAATTATGAAGCCATACATTCGACAGCAAATCAAAAAAAATTCATCAAGTATTCGACAAGACACCTTTTCATTACAACACGTGTATACCGGTAAGATCGTGCAAACCACATTTCCTCATCATCATAGCGTTAGATTCCTCAATTCGATTTCAAGGAACATCAAATTGTTCCACGATATTATTTTTGAGGGAAGAATAAATTTTACTCACTTTGAGTTTTGCTCGTCGCTGGATTCGACTGTTTTTTTATCCAAAGCCATGTCAACTGATGATTGACCCTGTTCGCCAGTAGTACAACTGTTTACATCATCTTTCTCATCGGAGTTTGGCGATAATTTTATTCGCTTGGAACCCTTTGATACAGCTTGTGATGCCATCCCTATTTACACAAGATATTTCCAAGTTAGAGGTTATCTTGGAAATTTTACGATTCGACAGAACTCACATAGAATTTTGAATCATAACAAAGACAGTGATCTCCCATAAATTTGCCGGCAAAATGTAGAAACAGCGGCTTTCCCCGCGTGACAGCCTACGTTGTAGATTTCTTTACCTACCGATAAAAAGTGAAGCCAAATACTTTAAATACAAAAATGCTGAAAAATAACCATGACCAAAAACCATAATGACCAAAATATGGTCCTTCGTTTGCGGTATTTCTCAGAGTAATAAGAATTTGGCGCCAATGCAATATGGCCGACACGACACGAGCTACTTGTAACGGAAGAGACACCCGTTGCTCAATCTGTAAAATTTTTCGCCGCTATTCCACTGGCGATGGTGAAAATAATTCAAACCAAAAATACCTTGTTCTCCGTTGAGGTATTTTAAGAACAAAACTCCACATTCACAAGATAGGAAGCTCTATTCGTCCAGTTGAACGTGACCGACTCGAGGACGAGGCTGGCACAAAATTATAATTTGTGCAGCGAATGGTAAAAAAAGTGATTATTCAGTCTGCATTGAACAGCGACAGTAGATTGCTCGAGCAGTTTCTGTTTCCGTTCTTCGATTTGTGGTTACTTGGTGGACCTTTCTTCGTCGAGGAAGGCTGTAAAGATAATCCACGAACTTCAGAGACCAACTGAAAACGGAGTTCCTTTCATTCGAAAGCCATGTGGTGTTTTGCAACAGCGGACACGACACATACAATGGCGGTGAATTGAAGGTTAGTCGTTCGTTGAATTATATTGAATTGCGCCCTTGCCCGGCTGAATATGGTTATAAAATAAACTGTGAATCCTCGTGGGACTTAATACTCGAAAGTGACACCGAAAGCCTTTCTTGATTTCCTCTTGGCGAGCAGAAAAGTATTTGGGATTTTCAAGCAACAGAGGCAGGGGCGGGAACATGAAATCAAACGCCACACAACCTTCTGATAGACGTGTGCACAAAGAGTCGGCTCCCACACCCGCTGCGTTGAAACGACAACCTGTCAATCAGCTGCTAAATAGACCAATCAAATTCTGGAAAACGCTATCAGATCTTCTTGTTGCCTGGGCGACGAAGCTGTACAGTAAAGGGATGACGTAATGGACTTGACATCCGGGAAAGTGGTCAAACCGGTTTGACAAGTTTATGTGCAGGTGTTATTGGCAGTACTCGTGACGTTTACTAATCCACTTATGATAACACCTTGTGATTGGTTGGATGCCGTTGGGTAATTGGCGGCAGGCAGTAAAAGACTCGATAAACAATCAGTAATCTTTCCTCGCCTTGCCACAAACAAAAAGTACCGAAGTAGTTGAACTGTTACCACTTGGCAATGATGCAGGAAAGAGGTGCTGCACCCCTGGCAGCCCAGATGGTACTACTTGTCGTTTTCATCACAGAAAACTCATCACTTACTTTGGAAAGGGTGATTCCCCTTTGAAATAAAAAGCTTCAGTGTTCATGATCATGAGGGGTGTACATGGGCCATCCCAACTTGGTAGATTCTTTGCACCCAACCCCAGCCAAATTGTACCCTTCTGCAGCCTTCGGTATTACTACTACATTATTTAAAGTGGTTGTACACAGTTTTGTGAAAACTTGGTGAATGTCAAAATTTTGTTACAAATGCAGGAAAATTGCACGGTAAGTGACCCGGAAAAAGACGAGCCGGTCAATTTTGTCAATTGACAGGTGAGGATTTTCGAAATGCTTCAATTGTTTCTCAAAACGAAAGACTTGTATCCCTCAGTAACCTGTACTGTCGCACGAGATGTACTTTCACGTCACATGTATAAACTCTCCGTGGAATTCGAAAACCTAATTTATGCGAGGACCAGAGAACGTTGTCAATATGCAATTGTTTGCTTTCAATAAGTCATTATACGCACGATTGATCAGTGAATGTTCATTGGATACTTAACCACCAAAAACAACAATGCTTGTCAATTTCAATTACTTTTGTTTGGGATTTGTAAATGATATGGCTTTCCGTATTAAATTTGAAATGTCAATCCAAATATAGCACATTCAGTAAACGTTCGAAAATTCACGCCTTCGTAACTGTCTCCAAATATTTTTGTACTTTTGAATGTTGCGAAGCCTTCCTAAAGCCATTCGATTTTAAGTTCAGCCAAGTCACGGAAATCAGTGAAATTCGCACACACAGCGTTTTTTTAAATTTCTGTTACTAAATGTCAAGTGCAGAGTCACCTTTCTCTTTTGAAGATTCGGAACATTGCGAGGAAAAGATACTGTAGTACGACAGAGAAAAAAAGAGATAACGAAATGTATATTTACTATTTTCATAAAATTGTCAAAGAACGTTGAAATATATAACTACATCAGAGGTTTCCTGACCCTTAAAACGTTTTCTTTAAATTTATTGATCATAACTTTAAAGTAACGAAAATAAGTTGTTTCTAAGTGATCACGGGAGTAAACATTTTCACCTTGATCGAAACAAAAACGTAAAATGCACCGGACAAAACATTCAGGCAGAAGAGAGATAAGAATACATTAATACAAAATAAATAGAAATTCGAGATAAAAACCATAAACCTTATAAACTGCATCGATTTTCATCAGATAAAACCTGATAAGGTATAACAGATCTTGTGGCAAAAATCAATCATAAAACATAGCTCTCTTTTTGGGGCTTTTAAAGGAAAAAATAAACAGCTGTCTTTTCTATTTGGACTAGCTTTCCCTAAGGTCACCTTTATACAACATGAAACCCTATGGAGAATAAGCAATATTGCCAACAATAGATTTATCTAAATGAAAAGCAAAATCTTTTGAAAGTGAGAATTTTGAGAAGTATCAGACAATTGCTAGACTTATCAATACAATAACAGTGATTCATATCAAAAACTGAGATCTCAGGAAGTAAGGTAATACATTATGCAAAATTTAATTGTATACTAAATACAAATGCTGATAATTATCGTTGAAAAAACAATTTACAAAATATTCAGTACAGAATTTTAACTCCTCAGAACAGATGATTACAGAGAGTGAAACTACATTATAAAATCAATCAATATGGTTGCTGTAAACAATCTTGGTTGAGAAATGCTACTATCTCATTAAAGTTGAAGAACACAAATTGTAATTGATGAATTCCTTATTTTCCTGGAAATGTCAGGTTGCCTGAGGAATGAGGACAGCAGAACACCTTTAAATAACTTACAAAAAGAGTGCAAAAAAAAAGAAGAGGTACCATTTTCATTACACCTTTGACCCCCGAGAGTGACTCACATCTAATTCCCGCTTAGAATGTCACCTCTGAATCACATTAAGGTCATAATGATAAAGGAAATGATCACCAACTGGAGAGCTCTTGATTTTTAACCCTGTCACTCTCAAGATCTCATTTGTATTTCTCCTTACTTTCTGCCATACAAATTCTGATAATGTGAGTTCAGATAATTTGATATTGGATCAACTAATAATCAACTAATAATCTCCTAATTGACATTTTCCTTTGTTCTTATTACCTGTGTACTTTATATTGTAAGGAGAAATTCTGCTTTGGTCACTGATGGGAGTCAATGAGTTAAACAAATTCTCCTTGTCAGCACCTTAAGAAATGTATAGAGAACAGTATAGAGAATATGCATGCTGATGTTAGGGTGTTAAGGGTTTGTTGAGACACCTTTCCTATAAGATAAGAACAACTTCAGGAACACTTCATCATCATAATTTTATTTGCCTCTTTAACCATAATAATAAATACATTTACAGCATGATAATAATATTTCATGAGAAGACCTAAAGTCCCCCCCCCCAAGTTTATGGGAGGAGCCATCTCACTTGCTACAGTATTTTTATAAAATTACCAGTACTGCTGATAATGTGCAGCTTGGCTAATTCAGTGATTATTTCAGTAAAACCCTTCTCATTTTTGTCTTAGAGCTATACCATTACATTGCTTGGTGGGCAATTTCACTGATTCTTAACTGAAATTTGCTTTACAATTTTTATTGGCAAACATAACTGAAGGATGGCACTAAACACAGTGTAAACATACAGATTCTTTCATAATTGTCTACTAGGGTGTGTAAAATAAAATCCTGACTGACAGAAATTATCAACAACTTTAAACTTGTTGTACACAGGGTGATTCATCAGTTTGAAGGGAACTAAAATAACTATGAAGAACAAATCCTTTGGACTTCCCCATTCTTAATTTAAAAAAAAACTTTCAATATGCAAGGAGTCCCTGTTCCAGTTTTTGGGCAAAAGATGAGAAAAGACCTGTTGCACAAAAAATTGGTTCAGGAACTACATTTACAGCAAAGGCTAAGGGAAGGGGTTTGGAGGAAAAGAGGGGAGTTGCTCACTTTAGGTGGACCAACCTTCAGTGATATTCACTTCCTGTAATGGCAAGCAGCAAATTGGTGAAAACTAATAGTACATGAAAAAGTTACTCTTTCACTAGCTTATTGCATGCGCATGTTTGGATTTCATTACCAGCTTTGACAATTCAGATTGATTTTGATTTTAAGTAATAGAAAGACTATTCATAAATTTGGTATATATTTATGTACATATTTACATATTCTCTCAAATTAAATTATTTTGTACTTGTGCTCAAATTAAAAAAATATTTATGAAAATTAATGAGAGAAGTCTTCATGAAAAAAGTCCATCAATGCTTTGTGCATTATGAAGTGTTTGTATATGGTGACAACAATCCTTTTAATGCCACTGTCAGACAGAGTAAAGTAGTTGTTTCTTGGTTATCCTATGGTCTGCAGTTTTCCATGACACCATTGTTGAAAACAATGTAGAAATGCTTGGATCTCACAAGTAATATACAGATTCATGGATAGGTGAACAAATTGAGTCATAAAATTAGAATCGTCTTGAAAAACTCAAACTGTCATACTAAGGATGTCACCATTTATAAAGAGATGCCAATGAAAACTCTTCACGATAAACATTTGATGATGATAACCATCCCACCATTTGGAATCTGGAAAAGGGTATTTGAAAACATTTACATGTATGAACATACAGATATGTCTATGTTTCTATAGTATTGCTATATATTTTCAGTGTGGATAAGTAATGAAATTTTATCACAATGCACCAATCAACTGTTCTCTCATTTGAGACAAGTCCAGATCCAAGGATGTTACATCATGCTACTAGGCCCAGCTTGAGGAAAGGTTGTTAGCAGACCTGTTGTCTGCTTGGTTGCAGATTGTCTTGAAGGGCTGATACCACCAAGCCACTATAAGGTAATACAATATACATACAAGTTAGAAAACTGAACAAATTGTAAGCATTTGAGAAAATGCACTTTGAGAAGTAATCTGAGAAAATACCACCAAAACAGCAACATGATAGTGTTCTCTTGCACAAAAAAATCCTTAAAACTGCCCAACAATAAAAAAATGCCACCTGCACTCAAATCAATCATGTGCATCACCTGCTAGTGAGCCCACAAATTTACAAGTGTATGGATATGTGTGCCTCGCTTCTGCTTATTTGTCTGTTTACTTAGTACTCACAACACATCATTCATTTAATCAAATAAATGTTGTTATCAATGAAGGAAATCATTCCACTGAACCTCAGTAAGTCTGTGCTCTGGCATCTGACCAGCTTGCATATGACCTGAGAGAAAGAGATAAAATGCAAATTTAAAACTTAAACTTACCCCTGAACAAAACAAAGTACTATTTGCACTTCACAGACAAGCAATAAAAAATTTCAGTCCATCCATGAGAAACAAGCAAGAACTTTCACTTTATATTATAAATTACCACAAGGGATCATAATCTAGCAGCTATGTAAAGTTTAACAAATTATTTTGAATACTAAAATATCAAAACATCATTGATAATTGACCATATTGTTCAATAATACTGATGACATTCTGATCAGTACAGGCCTTGATATCAAGTTTTAAAATCATTTATGTGTCTTTGAGAATCACAATTAACTTGAAACAGTGTATTTTACTAACACAAAGAGTACAATTCAACACAATCAACGGCATTATTAGACAATTACTTACTTTCCAACAATTGCTTGGTAAGGCTATTGTGTAGCTGATAGTATTCACTGGCAGAAACAGGGTCACCCATGATTCCATACAGATCTGATGATAACAAATCATTATAACCCAATATAAAGCCCTCCACGCAAGTTTTAAGAACATGTGCTGCTGTACTTCTAGACAGAAAACATACCTTGCCAACAATTTTCCCATTTTTTGAATGTATCAAGGGCATTAAGGCCATTTTGTTATTCTTCAAGCCTGCCCCTCCCTGCCCTTGCCTGCCCCTTCTCTACCCCCTCCCATAAGGATAAAGATCACCAAAAACCCTATGTGAGATCTAACAACCATCACATAGAAGGCTCTACCAGAACTCCATGCATCATCCTATAATAATGTAAAACTAACTCCTTTGCACACCTTTAAGCAGATCTACATGTACATGTATTTGTTTAATAATACCTCAATCAAATTGTCTTTAAATTTCAATTACATGTAGCACATGTATAGGTAACAACATGATTTCAAACTGTGTAATTTGGTGCTAATGAGCACAAGTAAATTGGCAAAGATAACAAAATTGCTCCACCAAGTGCAATTTGTGGTCTTTGAAAATTTTATAAGTGCTTATTTACACCACGTTCCATATAAAATCATGTAGTTACTTGTTAATAATTAACATGAAAAATACATCACAGAAAGTCAAGACAGATAAAATTTTGGCAGTGCAGGCATGCTTTTTGCAATTTGCACTCATGTTACTACTTTGCACTCATGTTACAACTTTGGACTTGTGTTATAACTTTGCACTTATGTTACATGAAAAATGCACTAGTTTTCAGCCAAACAGATGTGCATAGTTTTTTTACGTATATTATCAACTTGATTATTTCACTGACCTCTCAGAAGTGATGCAGCCCACATATTAATGTAAGAGTCTGGTATACGGCCAGCCAGTTGATTTGCAGGCAAAGCCATGTCAAGGGCCTCCTACAATTAGTAAATAAATATTAAGTGAATAAATATGTCAAAAATAAACAAGTGAATGAATAAATAAATGTATACATAATGATGAAGATGATGATGATCATACATGTAATAATAAAAAACAAGCAAACAAACAAACAATGCACAACCTGGGTAATCCCTTGAGATAAAAATGTGCTTCCTAGCAAGACCAATGAACAAGCTGTTAGTCTGTTGAGATCTTCAGAATTTGCCATCTTTAAAGTTTCACGCAGGTATTTTCTGTCGAAAAAATTGCAAATAAACTATCATGAGAAATCTGAGTTGTCTAAATTTACCAGCTAAAAAATTACAACATAGGAAAAATAAAAGGAAAAGAATTGCAACACAACATAATGATTTACACCATAAACATACTTGGCATCCATGAAATGTGAATCAAAGAATGATTGTAATCCTCTGATATAGTAGTAACCTGCCTGGTGACTATATGACCTTGGCATGAGAAAAATCAAAACAATAAAAAACATACCAATATACAATTCATTTTGAACTAAACAAGTTCTTATAATTTAAAAAAAAAAAAAAAATGGATTGCAATTTCCAGTCTTAAATTCATGATGCCATGGTTTCTTTTTCACACAAACTACTCCCTAATAACAAAATTAATGGATGTTCAAAGTAAAAAAAAAAGAAAAAAAAAACTACAAGCAAGTATAATGGATTTACAAGATGTGTTTGTATTCATCTCTGTTACGCAGATCAAGGTTATAACTTTTGCAATGTAGAGCCAACATCAATATTGTCCATTGCAACGTTTTGCTGATAGTAGAGCAGTCAAAACAATGTAATCAATACAATTTACCGGTAATGACTACATACCATGAGACAACAAAATACCAACAGTAGTCATTCACTTCTATAAAGATCATCATGTCCAAAAAATTTGAAGGTTTGAAACTCATTATTTTGAACCATTCCTTATAAAAATTATTATACATTTGTGATTCATTTGGTTTGTTCCAGTAACAATACATATGAGAACTCCAAAACAATACACATGAAAACTCCAAAACAAAGGAAAAAAATAGAATACTGAAGCTACAGCAATTAAATGCACTCAGTAGAAAACTATGCAAAGAAAAACAGTGAAACTGAAAACACATATTTCAAGGTTGTTGAAATTAAACTTAACATATGATTTTGTCTTTACCCTGTAGGAAGCTGATCTGGTCTTATCTTTGCTAAAAGATTTTGGAGCTGCAAAGAAAATTCATAACATCTAATCAACATAGCATATCTGGTAAGAAATGACCAAAGTAAAAAATTCCTAAAGATACTCATTATTTATCAAGGGTGTTGGGAAATTTAACCATTTCTTTTCAGCTGAGAGAGAAAAAAACGGAAAAAAATATATAACAAAGGCTTCATACCTTGAAGCAACTTCAGTCATCAACACCAAAGGAAAAAAAATTAGTTCTGTTTTACTTTCCCTACCTTTATATTTTGATTTCCTCCCATTCCAGATCGAATGTAGATAATTGCCATATTCAAACCAATGAAATTTCTCAGTTCTGGCTCTCTGCTGGTCTAAAGGTAAAAGTACTGAGCTAGCATCTCCTGAGTTGACATCTACATCTTCAATAACTATGAGCTGTCACTGAATGACAATTAATTAAGCTACACATATGTACACGAGCTTCAGAGCAATCATGGTATTTCATGTTAAATGTAAGTCACAGCTACTGTTTGAAAATGAAATTAACTGTTTCCTCACAGCTGATCATCAAAATCTTAAAGTTTGAAAGTTTCTTCAAAACTCAATTTTTGAAAAATCCAAACAGGAAACTCAAGCCCCAAAACTTGATTCTCAAAAGTTTCAAAAATAAAGAATTGAGTTTTGAGTGGAGAATGTCAACTTACATTCAAGAAGCCCTGCACATACATGTACATACCTCAAAGGCAACATTGAATTGTGCCACTGCTGAATCCATAAGATTCATGGACATTGCATATAAACCCTGAAAAGAGAAAGTAACATGATTATAAAGTCTTTATTCTTTACTAGTAACAATATAAAAATGATAAAAAGCAATAAATGATCATCATTATGTGTACCAAAAGAGTGTGAATGACAGATTGATGGGCTGTTAAAAACTTTCCATCTTGTTGAGCAATTTGATAAACTTGTGAAATCTAAAACCAAAAAAAATCAAAGAATCAATTAGTCAGTTGGTATGTCAGTCAGTCAGTCAGTCAGTCAGTTGATCAATCACTCCGTCAGTCAGTCAGTCAGTCAGTCAGTAAATCAGTAAATACATCAGTCTAATGAGTTAGTAAAATGTACAATTATTTTACATACACTCAGGCAAATTTTTATGCAAAATCTATGGTGAGCTGAATTTAACACAAAAAAGAAATTTTTTGACACATAAACACAAGTAAATCTTCTTGGCCTTTAGTTTGAAAAACAGAACATGATATTAAATAAATGAAAAAAAAAAAAGGATTACTTTTCCCATTTTTTTGCTTTGTCGCTACTGTAATTTTGCCTTCTGTTATCAGGCTCTGTTTTATTAACTGAATGCCTAGGACAGGCTATTCATGCAATAGCAATCATTCAAAAATTATTGCAAATAGAACAGAGATAGCAAAATGAACCTCTTTTATAGCTTGTGGCATCTGTCCTTGCACCATTCTACAAAGAATCATGTGTTCTAGAAGCACCAGTTTAAAAGTTGATAACAGTCCAGAGATTGGTTCAGCAGCTGTAGACAGTAACACACACAAAAAAACATTTAACTCTTCCACAAGATCCTTCAAAACATTGACATCTACTGACATATACATTATAAGACATTCTTTGAATCAGAAACTCTAAGGATTTGTACAAGAAAATTTAGAATAATTCCAAAGATCTTTGTGCTCCTAACTGTTTGTTAGGAGCACAAACTTTACTAATTGTCTGTTTAGTGAAGTTTGTTCATTAAGAACCTTACAGCCACAGTAAATACATCTATGGTAGATGTCAAGGAGATCCTAACCCAGAGTATCAACTGAATGTAAAAAAGTCTTCTTTTCACTTTCAAAGTCAACTTATAACTACATGTACATGTACATGTATGTCAATGCATGTTAACATGCATGTACAACAGTTACAATAATAATACATCTGAAATTGAAAAACATGCTCACCTTTTAACCTTTGCACTTGAAGGAGAGCCTTCTCACTGTATTTGATTGCCTTTTCCATAGACCCCGAATACATGGAGTGCATTACAGTTACCTTGAATATTTCAACAATGCAGTTATAAAGAGTAAAAAGTTATTCACAGTGTTATAGTGCAGACTCAAAGGTTAAGTATTTCCTTTCTGTATTCTATGCAGAGACAAGGGCCCACTTCAATTAAACCCACTCAGTTTACTATGCATTTGATTTACTATTCTGCAAAGTGCATGTGAAGAAGAAGTAAATTCCAAATGCTGAGGAAATTTACAAAATACAAAAACACTCACAGGGAATAGGTTTACATAGAGCAAAAATAAAACACACCACTAAAAGGGGCGTGAAACATGAAATGTAAAAGGCAGCATAGTTTACCTAAACCACAAATAATGGTGGAGAAATGATGTGTGAAAAAATGAAAAGAATAAATGCAAATTAATGTGTAGGAAAAATACAAGAAAAAAATCAAGAAAATAACAAATTTGCCACAACATTTTTTACAATGTTCTCTCTGTTTCTCTATTAAATTTTTTTACAGTAAAAGGAACAGAGAGTCCAAGGAACACAATGTATTCAATAAAAAGGGATTTATCCTTACTTAAGTTTGCTAACTACCATACATTATTTAATTTAATCCTGAAACCCCCAAGACTGATAAGCATCTTATTTCTCCCAACAGTATCTCTTCAAAAATGAACATTAAGGTCTGGAGAATAAAGGAAATGATCAAAAACTCAAGAGGCTCTTATTGTTGGACAAATTTCTTCTTGTGAGGACCATAACAAATGTATAGAGAAGAATAAGGAGAACTTGCATTTTGATATTCAGGTATAAAAGGTTAGATAATCAATGCTAAAAACTGCACAAGACAGTTCAATCTCTTTGTTATTTATACTGGTGTTACATCGAGTATTAAACTATGTCTCACAAATGAGATGGATATTAGACTTTTACCAAATAAACCAGAACACAAAGATGTTCTTTAGTGAGCCATTCAAAGCGTTCTGCCTCATGGATTTGTGATTCTGCAAAAATAAAATCAAAAAGGCAAAGTTAAATCAAGCACTGACTCTATTTACATATATAGTTAGATGAGTTTTGATGCCATCTTCGTTGTTTTCCACTTTTCCTAATCAGTCACCTGTCCCCTAGTAACTTCTTCCCACCGGAAAAATTATGCATGTTAAACTAGATGAAATAAATCTTTTCCACAAAAAAATTCTTATTGATTTTGACTCTAACAATAAGCAGATCATTAGAATGTTAACAATGTTGTACTACCAATTTATAACAAAGTAATACTAGTCAGTGGCACATACAGCGCTGTAGACACATGTGACTTTACCTACAAAATCATATTAAATTAAAGTAAACATACCATCCAAACTGAGAGTTGTCAAAAGCTGTATTGATTGTTGCAGTTGCTTTAAATGTGGTCGAACACTCTTTGCCTGTAAAAAGATTGAATACGGCAAATGATTGCAATCTCAGTCTTTTTCACAAGTAGACACAATTTTTTTATTTTTTATTAATACTGAAAGTGGTGGTAAAATAATAAAAAATGTAACTTTGATCATGCTAACTGCAAAAAATATTAATTTCAATCATCAAAAACTGTTGCATTAATACACCATATAAGTGTGCACCTTTCCACAAGGGAGAAAGGACTACAACAATATGCAGAAGTGTACATTTTTACCTGTCCAAGTTTTAAAAAGGTCCACACTCTTAACAATAAGTAAAACACATGGATTGATTCTCGCTGATAATTTGAAATGTTCCATCGTTCCAAAACACTTGCAATCATGGACAAGATGGAAGTTGCGTGATTCAATTCTTTAATCATCATAAATGCCTATTGAAAAACAAATGCAAAGATACATCATCAATAATGAGATTAAACAGTATACTGTATACAGAGCTCACCAACAATTGCCCTGATTTAAAAAAGGGCAAAAAGAAATTATTCAAACATTGAGTCAATTGTCTTGGAGGGTAGATACTGTCAGGGTAGCAACAGAGGATTACAGCAATATTTTTAGCAGCAATATTTGTTTTGAGCCCCTGTCAGCAAAACACCAACAAAACAGTGTGTGGAATGATTACGGACCCAAAATACCCAAAGGAGGGAGGTAGATGAAGTACAAGCAAGGTAGCAAAGCAAATATAGGTAATAAGTAACATGATTTGTAGTCTTTGAAAAATTTACAAGTGTTTATTTGCACCAAACTGCTCTCAAAATCATTTTGTTACTTGTTAGTAATTAACATGAAAAACTCATCACAGGAAGTCAAGATGGATGAAATTTTGGCAGAGCATGTACGCTATCTGTAATTTGCACTCATGTTACATGAAAAAGCACATGTTTTCAGCCAATCAGATGTACATAACTTTTTCATATACATTATTAATTGAGAAACAGCACTGGTGAATGCTCCTTGAGCCTTCCCTTCCCCACCTTTGCCGAAACCCCATCACAGCTCATTACTTTACAAGTTTATGGGTTTCTGTGTTTGACAGTAACATTAACTTTATTTTTCCTTACAAAAGGAAAAGATTCCAAGAAAATTAGATATCAAAAGTTAAGGAATGCATTCTTGCATCTTCTGCCCTTACTTTAAAATCAACTAGTAAACCACATCTGAAATTATTCTACAATTGGAAAAAGGAAGTTATGAGACTCATACCATAGCTCTGCTCAATGCAAAAAGACACCTGAAACAAAATGATCAAAATCAGTTCATTCAAATTCTAATTTCCAATTGAAAATTTTTAACTAAGTGCATGCAGTGAAGTTTAATTTACATGATTTAAACAAGTGTCATCTGAAATGATGAACCATTAACAAAACTATAAAAATTTGTAATCTACATGTACTGATACATAACCATTCCATTTAACCAAAATGACCAAAAGAAAAACAATTTATTGATGGATTTCATGTAATTCCTTTATTCCTACCAATTAGAGCATGTAATTAATATTAAGGTGGGACATATTATAGTAAAAATGCAAATTTCTCACTTCATGTAATGTGAACAACACTGTTCTGCAAATCTCTCTCCCATTTCCAGGACTTCTGTTGCAGCCTTCAGCTCTTTGTCATTCGCATGCACATCCTGAAATAAATCAACAATTATATTTCCAGTAAGAAATTCTCTGCAAAATTCAAATTACTTCTTTTTAAGACTAAAAATGTACCCATGATATTACACTGCAAGCTTTGTTGCAGAGTAACTCTTAAACCTTTAACTCCCAAGATTTGATTGTTAATTCTCCCCTCTAGCTGCTACACATTTCCTTGTGAATTAGTGACAAGAATTTGTTGTTTGATTGGAATGAGAAAACAACTTCTACCTGACACATTTGAGTATTCTCATTACCTGTTTGCTGGATATTGCATGGATATTGTAGGGAGAAGTTACTTGTTTATCATTTCTGGGAATTAATGGGTTAATAGAAGTTATAATTAATCTATTAACCCTTTAACTCCCATATCAAATTGTTAATTCTCCTTATTGTCAACTGTATGATTCTTATAATGTTAGTTCAGAAAATTTAGTATCGAATCAAATAATTATCCCCAAATTGATATTTTTCTTTATTCTCATCACTTATCTGGTTAACATTATATTGATATTGTAAGGAGAAACTCTGTCTTGTTCACTCATGGAAGTCAAAGGGTTCAGTACATGGACAATATTAATGCCATAATCAAGTACACTTAATTCTCTTAATATAAAAGTGGAGTGACTAACGCACCATTTTAGATTGTGAACAATTCACACAAAATATGGTAAGCTGACAAGCAATTCATTGTGAAATTGCAGTAAGCACTTACTGCAGCTCCAGATGAAGACTTTTCTTCACTTTTTCCCTATACTTTTAAATATTTCTCTCTTAGCACTTCCATGTCTGAAAAAATAGTTTGCTAATTTCCATGCTACAAAAGATGCATTTCCAGCCCTGGTTTCTCCAGCCAGAACTATATGTCAACATAAAAATATTTTTGCTACCACACACAGGTCATGTAACTTCATAAATATACAGACATACATGTTATTTCCTTATGTGACAGATATATTTCAGCCTATCACAAAACTTACAGCTAACTGGAAAGTGATCTTGAATTGCCAAAAAGGCAAAATGCTGGCATGGGCAACCTCTAGAGCCTGCCGCAGAGTAGACTTTGCTAGTTGATACTGGCTCTGAAAATTAATGTTTAAAAGTGAACTCACTGTTTAAAAAACATAATCAATGCCATGGTATTAAATTACTAGGCCCTTAAACAATTATTAACAAATTGGGTTGTATAACCTTGTTGATGTAATCATAAATATCACTCCAATAACTATCATAAACATCTACTCAGTAAATGTACCTGTTCTTTATAAATTTCTGTCAAAACGGACATGGCTTCCAACCGAATTTCTTCATAACCAATTCCCAGCTGACTCTGAGTTAAGTAAAGAAATGCTGTAATCTTGTGGACAATCGTTTGTGTAATTTTATTTACTCTATTTCAAACCTGATGAATTTTACTAGGACTCTTTCACCACACATTTTGCATAGAATTTCACCAGCATGTGAATTGAAAAGGATACAGATTGAGCTAGAACGACCTGTTGAACGAAAAAATGTTAGAAGTCAAAATATGATAGAACCGATGAAGCAACAATGCTAACCAGTGAAACCTGTGAAGCTACGGTTACGGCAAAGTTATCACACTTCCGATGAATTTTCAATCATCGGACTTCCACAAGGCGATCAGTTTAAGATCAATTACATAATTAAACAAAATAATACTACTACCAGCTCTCTTACTCAATAGAAATTAAACTCACCGCCTTTTCCAAATGTGACCGGGCCATGTCTATATTTTTCGTATGCGAATGAAGAAGCCTTCCAAGTTGTACATGTGTTTCAGCCTGGATTGCTGATGACGGTTGAAATTGAAATACAGATTGAAGGCACTGTATACACTGTCTTATCTTAGGTGGGTCAGACGTTCTGAATGTTTCTGCTAGGCCCAAAAGTCCGAGATACGTTACATCGTGACCACTTCCCGCTATCGCCGCCATATTGTTTTTGTCGATTTATTTAACGCCCACGATTTACAGCGGATTAAAGTGTATGTGGTAGTATGTTACACTGAAATTAGACATCTTTGGCGCATGGTGGGATAATTATCGATAAATAATATTGAGCGTCTATCGTCTATTGGAAGACCATTCTTCATTGAGTGAAGGAAGCATCTTGCAAAAGAAATAGACCATCCTTTACTGCAAAAATACTTCAAGGAGTATTGTCAGCATTGTTTTATTTCGTTACTGGTTACGGATTGATCGAAAAAATGGTGAAAAATGGAAGGGTTGCGCAACCGCCACACTCGAAAAAAAAAATCAACTGAGAAGAATATCGTCGAAAATTTTAAAGAAAGAAATAAAAAAAGAAATATTGAAAACTGGCCACTTTCCGTTGAATGAGCAACGTTGCATGAGATCAAGAGAGGACTTTGTGAAATATAACGCCCCACTTTAATGACCTCAAATCATTTATATGAAACACAATATAAACACAGCGGTTAAAGGTCGGGCATGCGCGAGGGGGGGATCAATTCTCGTCGGCCGCACGCAAATTTTCCCGCGCAAAATCACAAGAAACAAACTCCCTGCAAAATAAGCGAAGGAAAGTTGAACTGTACATGGAAATCTGTAAAAGGAAACAAAAGAAGCAAAAAGGAAAACTCGAGACTTTTCCAACGCAAAGCTTATTCAAGTACAGGTATTCTATTGATTTACCATTCAATTTTGAGCTTTACCAAAAAAGTTATACGCTTTTAAAACACTCAGTGGCTTTTGGGATTTAGCTTTTAACTTGCGTGAGACAAGTAAAGTGAACTTGGTTCTGAGAGCCTGATGGGCTGCGTAGACAACTCAGCCCCTTAAACCAAAGCACACCTGAAATAAAAATAACTATGAAGATCCTAAAAATATTGAACAGTCTGAAACGAGGTAAGTATGATTCTCACGGATTGATTCATTTTACCTCTTGCATAATTCAAGGTTTCATGCCCTTCTTGAGAATGACATAACTTCCGAAATAAACATGCTATTCCAAGCGATTATATTTCTTATAACGAAGGTTTCTTGGTAATTTTGCGGAAGCCTAAAGAAAAATTGCAACAGTTTGTCAGTTTGTTTATTTTTGTTAAGTAAAAGCTAAACGAGTGAAGTAAATCCAAGAGAAACTTCGGATGAGTTAAGACTACGATTTTTAGATGAACAATCTTCGGGATTGTAAGTGTCATTTGCGTGTCTATGATTTTCTGAACATGTATGAGGCCATACATAGTGGCTGTCAAGTTAACGAAGGCTACACCAAGGAAAGTAAAATGAAAACGAATTTAAAAGCTGTTCACGTTGACTTGCTGAGTGACCAGAAATGGTTTCAGATCACGGAGAGGAAGCGATCTTATACCAAGAAAAACAAAACATGCAAAAAACAAAAAAAAATAAAATAAAATAAAAAAATGGTAAACTTCGCAAATATCCCAGACCCATCTTGACCGAACAAGCCTAGTAATTAAGGGATTTCATGTATGTCAAAAAACTTGACATCGTAAAAGAATTCTTAAATACTCACGGAACATGTTCCTACCAAAGTCGTTGGTATGGTATTGTTACCTTGTAAAAGTATGAGGTTATCCAGAGGTTGCGTATAACGCATCCCTGCTGGTAATTTGCATCAGGTGAAACTGTACAATTGAAGTGAATCGGCTTGTAGACTAAAAATTGTAGGTCAGTCATACGCCTTAGTCGAGTTGGTAACAGTAATGAAATTCAGTTACTTGGAGTGGCTGAGTTTGTCAAATCAGGGTAGATACATAATAAAATAATGCAAGACTCGTAGCAACTTAGACGCAAAATCTCTATTTAGGACTGGTTCACTATCAGTAAATTAGTATTCATCTTAAGGGAGTTTTTTGGGAATTGCTGAACAAAAGAAAAATAAATTATCCGTCAACAGAAAGAAAAATAATTTGATGATTAACTCTGAGTATTAGTATTAAAAAGCAGATCGAAGTACGCCGGCGTGGGGGCCATTTCCGGGAAATACTAGGCAAATTTTCGCCGGGGGAGGCTTCGCTCTAAGGTATGAACGTTTTCTTCCTTTATAACTACTCTCTCCAAGAAGTTTTCTTTTCCTATATCCAGAATCAAAGTAACGTATCAATATCCCAACTTGATTATGAGTCAATTTTGGAAAATAAAACAAAAGAAATCGTTTTGGTTTCAATCGAGCACTGGACCGAAACCAAAACCCATCTGATTCTTTGTTGATTTGTATTAAAACTTTTCATTCTACGGAACCCCAGTTCAATTAGGAAACCCTTTCCCTTTTAAAAAACACCTTTACCCTGAAGGAGATAGCTGATTCAAGTGGAGTATCCCGACTTTTGTCTGTTGTGGTAAATCTACTTCCGGCCCCTCCCACTTCCCGTCGCGTCATCATCTCATGATATCGAATGAATATTCGATATCATGAGATGATGGCGCGAATATCGTAGAAATTATAAGATAGGGGTGACGTGACACAGGGGACTGGTGCAAACCGGTAAGGGCACGCTCCTCACTTACAGGCTTGCAAAAGCTTGTCCAAAACTTTCAGAGCTATAACTTTTCAGCTATGGTACAGTTTTGTTCGCTAATTCTTGCATTAACGACGATTACCGTCGTTTTAACGCCTTCTTATGCTTGGTGGAGCCGTAGGAGAAGGAGTTGTTCGGCCGTTCGTTGTCAAGTTAGTAACTGGAGCTCTTGGAGCTCCTGTACTCGATCTTGCAACGGAGGAATTCGTACACGTACTCGGAGGAAAACTGTTACAGAATCCTGTGGAGGAAGTTGCCCATACCACCTGTCAAACACGATGAATTGTAATACACAATGTTGTCCTGTTGACTGTATTTACACCTGGGGTGCCTGGAGTGCATGTACAGGCTGCGGGAATTCTACGCAATCGCGGTCCACAAATATTATACGACAGAGCTCTTGCAACGGGACGGCTTGTCCTGCGAAGGAAACACAGTCCTGTTATACTGGAGTGTAAGTACCTTTCTTAATGTTCATTGTAGAGATTTGCGTTCAAATTAGTAGAATGGGAGGTGTGTGCGTAAATATTTATCTAGTATTCGATAAAAGCCGTCCAGAGTGCTTTTTATCGATCAGATTAAGACCTCTCCACCAACCGGCTCCTCTTCAAGAGAAAACGTATATGGTGGTATAAGTTGAAGTCAAGTAAACTGGCTGTTAAGGTGAAATCTTTTTTCATCTGCTTTTTCGATAAAAGCCATCGGCAGAGCTTTTATCGATCAGGTGGTCGCAAAAGGCTTATTCTAAATAAACGAAACGAAACAATAATATAATATTTCATATTCATATAGCGCAAAATAACATACAGAGGATATGATCAAATGCGAGATATAACGAAACCAGGCGAGATATAATGAAACTAAAGAAATAATGCTGATATATTTTCTTATAAGCTAAGGATAACTTTCACAAGGATTTTGGAGTAATCGTCAATTGATAATAAGGATTTTTATTCATTTCGCAAAGTAATAATTTCAGAAGTTACTATTTTGCGAAATTGACTATTTTCACACTGCGGTGACAACTTGACCTCTTTCATGTCACAAAAATATATTTAAACATTACAAATTAGTAGATCACCAAAGATTTTTACCTCCTCTTATCTGTTAAACCATATTAAAATACAAATATAGTAACTCTTCCTAAATTACTACTTTGCGAGATGAATAAAAATCCTTCTTGTTAATTAACGATTACTCCAAAATCCTTGTGAAACTTATCTTTACCTTATTACAAAATATATCTGTATCATTCGTTTAGTTTTGTTATATCTCACCTAGTTCCGTTTCGTTTCGCAAAATATTATAAGCCGTAGCAGAACGTCGCAGTTACATTCACTTCTTAAACAAACAGCTGTTGAGTTTAAGAACTTAATCTTGTTCATTCTGGTTGGTCCTAAATGAATTTAAATGTCAGTACAGGGGATGTTTTTGTTTTAAATACTCATCGATCGGGATATTGATAAAAGCTATCGATGGCGGTCTTATCCTTCGGATAATCGCAACGTTTACTTTCAGTTTCTCTTTAAAGCGACATGGAAGTAACTAGAAACTTCTTTGTTTTCGTATTTAAAAAAGCTTAACTCGGACCTTTTCATAACCAAACTGTTGTGTAAATACGAACGGCCAATAGGGAATGGTCAGATTATAGGGGGGCCAACGAGATCGAGAATCGGCGACATCTCCTAATGCACCGAGATTGCGAAATACCAATTGTCTGCCGACAGCATTACAACATAACTTATATCATCGTCCATGATTTTGTGCAAAAGCTGACAACATGTATGAGGAGGTGCATCGTATAAATCGAAAATTAAAGGATATACCCGCTGTTAGTCCATTATTACTATTAATTTCGCTTTGTAAGTCATCTGAGATGTAAACGAGCTCACCGTCTATTTTTCATACCGGCGCTTCCGGGGTATGTGTGGCTTAAAGATTAACAAGAAATCTAACCTTAACCTCTCATTAAGAGGTCAGTAAAGCTTGAGGAGGGTGGTGAAAGTTGCGTTGAGAAGTGTTTTGAAGGGTGCATTGAATGCAGATATAATGTCAATGATCTAATATGGATTTGCTGATAGTTCCAAGTTCCTTTCTACATGTCAAAATCCGTCCTCCTAAAGATCTGAATATCTGTTACGAGTTCGGGATATAAATTGTGTTACGGAGGGTTGTCCAATACACCCAAACCGCTGCGAATCGTCAAAGGCAGTTGGCGAATCGTCAAACCGGAAGTCGATTCGCGGCTAAGTGGTGTTGTGATACTGGAGGTCTGAGAAACCATCTCTTATGACATGAAAACGCATACCAGAAGTCAATTTGCAAGAGACTTAAAAAATATTCCGCATGGGGGATGAAAATGTTGTCGAATCGACACGAATCGATTCGAATCGAAAGACTCGACACAACAAATGACGACCCGTCATACCGGATGTCGATTTGCAAGACACTTAGAAAATATTGTCTTCTTCTGCAAATTGACATCCGGTATGACGGATCGTCATTTGCTGTGACGAGTCGTTCAATTCGAATCGAATCGTGTCGAATCGTCAACATTTGCTACACTGTATTCTGACGATAGACTTCCGGTCGTTTCACGCTTTAAGAACGTGGAAGGTTCATGTTGGCATGTTCTCGTATCATGCCACTCATTTTTACACATTGCTCACGTGCGCGCCCCTCGACTTCCGGTATGTTAATGCACGATTCGACTTCCGGCATACTATGGTAATTTCACATATTGCTTATGCCTCTCGTACTCTGGTATGTTAACGCACGATTCGACATCTGGTGTGATGATATGTAAGAAAGGTTGAGGATTGCAACCAACCCAAGTGGTCTCTACCGTTGGAATCCATGTTTGTATCCTTAGTATGAGGCGCGGGAGGAGTATTGCAAAGCCTCCTCGATAGAATGTTATCCCATCGCTGGTTACCCTTCCCACCCCTCCTCCAGAATTTCATCAGGAGCCATTTATACTCCTGGTATAGTTGAGTGAAGCACTGTTAGGTTAGCGTATGTTGATCATGGCAGGGATATAACTTAATAGCCCTTGCCAGGGTTTGAATCTTGGCCTTCCCATTCATAGTCTAGTGCCATAACCATACCTTGGACATACGGTACCTCTTGCGTTATTAATTATAACTTTTCCTTTAAAACTAAAATGCTCTCTGAGTATTGAGTGTAGTTTTAGTGCTTGCCTGATTAACAGATGAAACTAAATTCAAGGTGCCAGTACCTTAAAAAATGTTTTGGTATCTTGTCGAGAGGGGTAGTGGAATTAAAGGTTTCTTTCATACAGAAATTATCCAAAGTGTACTTTATTATTATTACGTACGATATTTACAACAGATGGTAGCAGATGAACACTGGCTCAACCATTAGTTTCACATTCATTTATCGCGGGTTTACCTTTTGCTCACTAACACGCTGACATCTTCCAATGGTTTCTTTTATCGTCTCAGTTTTCTGCAGGAATACGGCTGCATACCCTTCAAAAATGAAACTTAGCGAGTTTCGAGCTCCCTCACCTGCTTAGCGGAAGGTGGAAATTAAAACGCACACCTTTATCGTTTTAGTCACCAGTAATCGTTTGAGGGCTTCAAAACAGCAAATACTCACTGTCAAGCATGTTGTCTTATAGATAACTCCATGAGAGCGCTAGCCTCTTTCCACCCTAACATGTCTGCTTTCTGGAAAATGTTCAGATTGCAATGATTTAGACACTCTCAGTCTGAGTGATACAACAATTGGCCAAGGTGCTATAAAATGTGACATGTAAACTTTCGACCTCGTCGCCTGAGTCTAAAGGTCGCGATCAATACATTGATATACTGTCTGTACATCGTGAGATAAAAATGAGATTTAGCGTCAATTCATCTGAAAAAAAATCACGGTGAACAACATTTTCTGCAACATTGAACTTAGTGATACTGAGTTACGTATAGTTAGTTAGCCAGTCTTGCCGAAATTATGGTCTAACAAAACCTTCGACTGCGCGACGAAGGGCAGTTCATTGAAACATCAATGTTATTTTCAAGCTAACTTTCTCATAAAGTTTTAGTTTCTCTTTTACTTTATTAGGAGCATACGGATAGACATAGAGAATGGCGTTCTGGTTAATACTTCCTTTGGTCACACAAGCCGATACGTGTGAAAGTGTGCTCAATTCAGTTTTTGCTAGGGTACCTTATAGTTAACGGCGTTTCGCGACATTACGGAAATCGTGCTATTCGCTCAGAGCGTCTAAAAAATTGAGTTAACGGCTCTGTAAAACAGATATACAGCTAAGTTAAGGTACTTCGTCAGGTGACCTGTAGTAAGAATAACTCAAGCCCTCCTCTGGCTGTAGATAACTGTGGCTGAGACGTGATAAATGGATTCGGTACAAATGGAAACGTATCATTTTATGATTAAATTGGTCAAACCTTCTGCGGAGTTCACCTGAAGGACTCCAAAGAGCACGTGAAAAACTCTTTGTGAAGATAAAGCTGTTTGACTGAAAGAGATGTATCTGGTTTGGTCTAATTTAGCGTTTAAAACGATTTGCCGGTGGTACGAAACAACTCGGGGTTGACCGTCTCAATCGATCTCTCAATAAGAATGGTATTTAGAAACTGGCTAAAAATTCAGTTGGTGAAATAAGAAACACCCCACAGCTTGTCTCGTTTTAATCTCATTTGTCCTAAATTGACTCTGCTTTCTTCCATTTGGGATACTTGAACGGGGAGTACAACTTCGTTTCACACCTTTGTTTTCTGTATATTTCATCAGTAATCTCTCATTTGAATTTGATAATGCTGACTTGTCGTCGCCCAAACGTCACGTTTTAAGAGCGTTGCTTTTTGTGCGAATGCTTCTTCGGCGCAAAAATATCTCGCTCTTTTTTCTTTCTAATGAACATGTTCACACTTCCTAACAATGCCTCCGTGTTTGTACCATTGGAATACAAAAGAAGTGCCGTCTATTTTATCCAAACAATAAGAAAAAATTGTAAGTGAGTCGGAAATAATTTGTGAAACAACATGATTAGATCTTAAGAATGACCAAAACCTCACTTGGATGGAACAAATTTCCAAATCCGACGTGGTTTGCAATGATAGTGTGACTAGTTTAAAAAACATCTACGCTTGCCTTGTTACACAACACCAGAACATTTTTTTAAAATGTCTAGTCGGCTGAGAAGATGAATGAGTCAATGTCCATTTAGTGTTTGGCTTTTCAACTACTTTTACTTCTTCTTTAAAGCACAATTTTAATTCTGAGTGAGAAAAGAAAAATAAGAAAAAGGGCGTCATCTGAGAGACAAATTGTTGATTTAGCCTCAGTGATAACTTTGGTCTGGCTCAGTGAGAAAAAACCTCTCACAGCTAACACCTCTCTCATCTCCATTATTTGCGGAAATTTACTTGATGAGAAGTCAGGGCTGGTGGGGAGGTAAATCTAAGGATCGAT